CTGCACTGAGCCCGGAGTCTGACACGGGGCTCGATCCCAGGACCCCGACATCATGACCTCTGCCAAAACCCAGAGTCTGACGCTTAACCTACCGCGCTACCCAGGTGCACCTTCTTGTTTGTTTTTTAAAAATGATCTAATTATAGAATGAATGATTATTTTGCCTGTATTTTCACATTAAGAACATTACGTTTTTAAATTGATGCATTTAAGACAGTCCATAATCTTAAAACCCTATTTTGGCAATTATTTTAAAAATATAATGTGAGTAAAGGTAACAAGTGATCCTGAATTGTGCAACCATTTTGGGAAACAGTCTGGGGTTTCCTCAAGAAGTTAAATATAGAGTTACTGTATGACTCAGCAATTCTACTCCTAGGTAAATGTCTAAGAGAATTGACGCCATACGCCCACATAGAAACTTGCATACAAATGTTCATAGCAGCAGGATCCACAGTAGCCAAATGTCCATCAACTCATGAGTGGATAGACAAAATGTGTGCTATCCATGCACTGGAATATTACTCATCTATAAAAAGAAGTGTGTCCCAACACAGACAAATCCTGGAAACATTCTGCTACATGAAAGGAGCCAGATGCAAAATGATTCCATTTACCTGAAATGACCAGAATAGGCAAATTCATAGACAGACAGAAACTAGATTTGTAGTTGCCAGGACCTGGTGAAGGGGTAACAGGGGTGATGAAAATGTTCTTGAATTTGATAGTGGAGATGGTTGTACACCCAGTAAATATACTCAAAACCCCTGAATTTTCTAAAGAGCAAATTGCATGGCATATGAATTATATCTCAATTTTTAAAGTTTTCATTTATTTAAAGAACTCTCTACATCCAATATGGGGCTCCAACTCAATGACCCCCAAATCAAGAGTTGCATGCTCCTCCAACTGAGCCAGCCAGCCACCCCATCTCAATTTTTAAAAGCTATTTAAAAATGTGGTATTGGCTATTTTGTCCCCTGAGGGGCCCTGTTTACCTCTACAGAACTCAATCTCTTAAGGAAGAAGAATAGGTGAAAGAAAATTGGATATCAGAGACAAATAAATCCAGCTCAGTCTGAAGTTCACACTCAAATACTGGTTCTACAAGGAGCAGCTCTGGGTCATAAGTAATTATGCAGAGCTTTCCACGGGGCCAGGGCGGTGGGGCGGGGGGAGAAGAATTTCACCTGCTTCTGCACCAGCGTAGTTGGAAAAAAGGAAGGACAGCAGCTTTAGGGAAGACTTCTGGTACAGCCCGACCACGGTCTCATTCAGGGGGTCCTTGTTCTTGTCCAGCCAGCCGGCGATGTTGTAGTCCACGGTGCCGGCGTAGTGGACCAGAGAGAAGTGCGCCTCGGCCTTGCCTTTGGCAGGCTTGGGCTTCTGGAAGTTGTTGGACTTCCCAAGGTGCTGCTCATAGAGCTTGTTCTTGAAGGAGGTGTCTGTGGCCTTGGGGAACATGCACTCCTCTTCCAGGATAGAGAAGATGCCCATGGGCTGACAGTAGGACGACAGACCATGACTCAGCATTTAATAGTACGTTTCAATGACTCCATTGTCTGCAGGAGCCAAACACAACCTCTCCGGTGGTTACCGCTCTGTCGCTAAGGAGCACTGCAGGGTACACAGTGCTAGACATGGAGTATGCGCTCAATGAATGCTTGTTGATCAAAAGAACATGGAAAGAAACTATGTATATACACGTAGCTCACTTTTAGCAATAGGCTTACCACCCCACCCCCCAAAAAAGTAAAGTTACATACATAGACATAAAATAATATGAGTAATACTGAAACAATCATGTCTGGATTTCTCAGTAGCCACCTTAGGAAGATAAACTCATTCCAACATGACCAGTGCTCAAAACATTAGGGGAATTCCTTTTTTTTAGTTAATGTCCTATGCTATTAAAAATTTTTTTTTAAAGATTTTATTTATTTATTTGAGAGAGAGCAAGCACAAGCAGTGGGGGGGGGGCAGGGGAAGAGGGAGAAGCAGATTCCCCGCTGAGCAGGGAGCCCAATGCAGGACTCGATCCCAGGACACTGGGATCATGACCTGAGCCAAAGGGAGATGCTTCACCAACTGAGCCACCCAGGCACCCCTCCTCTGCTATTTTTATAGTAACAGTATTCTAAGAACTCTATTGCTCCACAGTCTGTCGTCCTTGGGTCTTTGGATAAGTCAAAAAGGTATGAAATGCTACAGTTCCTCCCAGGGTCCCTTTCACATTCTTGGGGAGAACTGAGCCCTTGGATCTTAACCCCCGTGTACCTCTTTAGGTGTCTGAATTATGCATGCTTTCCAAACACTTTTCTGTGCAAGGGAATTCAGCTCTCTGAAGGCTGGAAGAGTTGGGTTAGGATTACCATTCTATCATCAGGGTAGAGTGAGAGCAAAGAGATGATGCTCCCAACCAAGGAGGAGCTGTCCCTGGGGAGCAGCGTCTATTTCTCTACCTTCTCAATGAGCTCGATGCAGGCAGCCAGGTCCATGCTGAAGTCGATGAACTCCCACTCGATGCCCTCCTTCTTGTACTCCTCCTGCTCCAGCACGAACATGTGGTGGTTGAAGAACTGTTGCAGCTTCTCGTTGGTGAAGTTGATGCACAGCTGCTCCAGGCTGTTGAACTAGGTGTTGCAAATAGCAAGGAGTTTGAGTGAGTCTGGAAAATCCAGTGGGGATTCAGCAAAGCAGACACAAAGTGGAAGGTCCTTAAAAAGGCCATTTATTCAAACAACTCACGTCAAAGATCTCAAAGCCGGCGATGTCCAAGACCCCGATGAAATACTGCCTGGGTTGCTTGGTGTCCAGCTGCTGGTTGATGCGGATGACCATCCACAGGAACATCTTCTCATAGATGGCCTTGGCCAGAGCACCCACCGAATTGGTCACCTTGAAGAAAGATCACCCACTCAACCCTCAAATTCATGAAGAAAGATCACCCACTCAACCCTCAAAGTTGAAGCATGAAGCCGATGACATCTTCAAGGTCAAAAGCGGTTGGAGATTGGCCATTTCATATAGTCCAACCTAATATTAAATATTCCTTAGAGCACTTGCCAGCTTAGGCTGTTCCCCTAACATCCTAACAGCCATGGTTGAACAGGATGTTCTAACAACCATGGTTATAACACATGACTCTAGACCCTGGCCACAAAAAACTGAACCAGAGGTGGACTTCTGATTCAAGTCGGGTTATGCAGAGTGTCTCTCCTGAGAATTTGGAACTGGGATCAAAGATACTGGTCTCAGTCTCTGCGGGAGGCTGAACTATGGAGATGTGAACTTGGGAGCTACGGGGTGGCCATGGGCAGGAGAGATGGAAAGAACTTGTCTGCCCAGTGAGGACACAGAAGAGAAGGAGAGCAACGACTGTCTCTGGAGCCCCAGGGAAGGAGCTGCCGAGGGGCTGCCCAGCTCCAGAGCGCCCTTCAGTTCCTGGTTCCAGCCCTCCTGGTGCCCAACGGTGCTCCTCGATGTGCATTCCTTGAGCTACCCCAGGGGCCTAAGAATGAAATTCCCCTTAATGCTGAAGCCAATTGCATATGCATTTCTGACACTTGCAAGTGAAAGAACTTTAAGATGGTGGTTAAAATAGCAGAATAACTGAGTCAGCTGAATTCAGAGCAACTCCGTTACCTGCTGGACGCTCTGGCCTTTGGTGACATACTCGTTCCCAACCTTCACCCTCGGACAACACAGGCCTTTCAGCATTTCTGCAGAGTTCAGACCCATCAGGTAGCCAGCTTTGTCAGCCACTGAAGGAAGAGGGAAATGATGTCACACAAAGACAGCAGTGGTTGACGTGGCCAATCAGGCCCCGGTCCTCCAGGAAACGTTTCCTATAATCCTTTCTGGTGTTTTTATGTTCTCCTATGTGCACCAGGACTGGGCTTTTCTGAAGAGGCTTCGATCTCATAGTCTAGGGGTGCAGGTTTTCTAGAACTTTTAGTTTGCCTTCTAGATGCAATCTTGAATTGAAGGTTGATCTTGACCTACTGATATTTAAATTTCTTTCTTTCTTTTCTTTTCTTTCTTTCTTTCTTTCTTTCTTTCGAGAGAGACAGAGAGAGACAGCAGGGGAAGGGTGCAGGGAGAAGGAGAGAGAATTCTAAGCAGGCTCCACAGTCAGGGTGGAGCCCGACCTGGGGCTCAATCTCCCTACCCTGAGATCTTGACCTAAGCGGAAACCAAGCGTTGGACACTTAACTGACTGAGCCATCCAGGTGCCTATAAATTTCATTTTTAAGAGGATACAGTTACACAGTAATATTGGAGTCTGATAATTGAACAAAATGGCATATGAGTAAAGGCGGCACTATTTGGGCAGTTAACAATATACGTAAAGCAGCTTCCTAAATTTCTGCAAGTTGCTATGCTCGTAGCTGAGAGAGAACTACAAAACCTTGACCCAGCCTTCAGGTGTTGGGAGAGGGTCAAAAGCAGTTGAGAATTGGCAATTTCATATAGTTCATTGGGACTTCATTTGACTTTGGGATGGACCTGGCTGCCTACACTGAGCTCATCGAGAAGGTAGAGAAATATCACTCCTCTAGGGACAGCTCCTCCTTCGTTGAGAACATCACATTATTGCTGGCTGGGGAGTTGAGCCAATAAAAATCCAGGACTGTATTTGTGAAGTGCTTTATAAGAGGCCAAATGTATGCTTTCCTCTTTGCTCAAACTATCCCCTTCTCCTGCTCTGCCCATGTAGGAGGATGATAGTCTTCTAGTCACTTAAACTTGAAAGCTTGGGGTGATTACATCCTTCCCCCTCATCCCTGACCTGCCTGTGGTCAGACAGGCACCAAATCCTGCTTGCCGTTCCTTCAAAATAGCTGGCATCTCCCTCGTTTGGAATAATATAGTGGCAGAGAGCCTGGGTTCTAGACTCAGACGGCCTGACATTCAAATTTTGGTTTTGCTTCCTTATTACTCAGTTTTCTCACTTGTAAACTGGTGCGGGGGAGGGTTGTGGCAGGACCCCATTGGCTGGGTTGTCGTGACGTGGGGGCCTGGTGTGTGGCGAGCATTCAGCAAATGTTCACTTGGACTGACATCATCATCAGAGGACCTCAGGGCTGGATTATAGCCCCACTTTCCCCTTTGTAGGATCTTTCTACTCCTGCACACTGAACACACAGCAGCTGGGGCTGGAAGGGGGCCTGAGCCCCCGCCGTGATATTTATCATATGATCCATCATTGCTGAGGAGGCTGATACACTTTCTTTTCAAGGTCCCACACTCTTGGTGAGCCTGACTGCTCACAGATTAATTCCCATGAACCTCCCCTGCTATGTGGAGAGTTCATGGTTTCCGGTGCCTACCATGTACATTCTAAACCATTTATCCCGACATTCAAGGCCGCCTTCAACTAATACCAAAATAGCCACTTTTTAATCCCCATCTCTTACAAATTCACCGCACACATCCTCTTCTGTAGCCAAAGTGGACCCCTCTGCTGTTCAGTCCCCTCACATTCCTTCCCCCACCCCCTTGATCATTATGCTTCCTCTGCCCAGACTGCCTTCTCCCCCCACCCCCCCCACAACGTTTAGAATCCTACCCATCCTTCAAAGTCCATTTCAGTGCCCTCTTCCTCCATGAAGCCTTCCCTGATTACCCCAATCAGAAGTGTCTCTTGCTCTGAACAGTTTCTCTGCGGCCACTTATCTTGCACCACTGCCCCACGCGGGATTCCAAGATGGCCCCGAGGCTTGGCGCCCCCTGGTGTACATTCCTTGCAAAATCCCCTCCACTTGTGCGAAGGGTGGGATCAATGAAAGCTGATGGGCTATTTTATTACTCCTGTGATGAGGTCACTAATCAGTCGACTTGAAATTAATAAAAAGAGATGAATATACACACAATGGAATATTAGGCAGCCGTCAAAAGGAATGAGATCTTGCCATTTGCAACGACGTGGTTGGAACTGGAGGGTGTTATGCTGAGCGAATAAGTCAATCAGAGAAAGACATGTATCCTATGACCTCACTGATATGAGGAATTCTTAATCTCAGGAAACAAACTGAGTGTTGCTGGAGTGGTGGGGGGGAGGGATGGGGTGGCTGGGTGATAGACATTGGGGAGGGTGTGTGCTATGGTGAGCGCTGTGAATTGTGCAAGACTGTTGAATCACAGATCTGTACTTCTGAAACAAATAATGCAATATATGTTAAGAAAAAAAAAAGAGGAAGTTAGCAGGAGGGGAAGAATGAAGGGGAGTAAGTCGGAGGGGAAGACGAACCATGAGAGATGATGGACTCTGAAAAACAAACTGAGGGTTCTAGAGGGGAGGGGGTGGGGGGATGGGTTAGCCTGGTGATGGGTATTAAAGAGGGCACATTCTGCGTGGAACACTGGGTGTTATGCACAAACAATGAATCATGGAACACTACATCAAGAACTAATGATGTAATGTATGGTGATTAACATAATAATAAAAAAATTAAAAAAAATAAATAAAAAGAGACGATCCCGGGCAACCCGACCCTAATCAGGTGAGCCTTTATGGGCAGTGATAAAGTCCCATATATTTTCCTGGCCTTGCTTTCATGGCTATTGTTCAAGACACACTTCTTCACACATTGTGAGGATGTAACAATAGATAGAATTATTGGAGATGAAGCAGTCTTTTCCTTACAGAGCTCATAAGACCGTGTGAGAGATTGAGGCCAGATGAGCAGGGTGCATGGTGGGTGGGTCCTACCCCTGCTGCTGGTAGCCTCTCCCCCTGCTGGCTGCTCTGTTTCCAGGGCCAGGCAGAGAGGGATGGGGTGACCACCCAGATGAGAGTCATGGGGTGGGGGAGGGGGGAGATTTGTACACCAGTCCTTGGTTCAGGGTCAAGTTCAACAGATATCAGAGTGGCCTTGAAGACAATGGGAGGAGGAAACCTCTTCACCTGGCCCGGGTGCTTAGGACCGCGTTCTGCATATGAATAATGACATGCACCGAGAAAAAGTGAAGTTCACGGAACTCTATCCTCTCATCAATGCCCACCTTAACATGACAGGTGAATTGCAGGGTGGACAGTGATTATTCATTCACGAGAATGATGTCTTTTGTTTTTCAAGGATCCACCACTATAGGATTCCTTGACAGAGGGAGTGGACTTTCCTCAGGGCAAGCACAATGAGCTTTGGATACCCCACATTCCGTTTGTGCGACTTCTGAAGAGCAGCTCTCGGGATGAACCCAGAGCTCATCCCACTGGGCCCCGTCCACACGTGAACACAGGGGCAGAGTCAGATGGCAGTCTCTGCCCAGACGTGGTTACCTTCGGTGCCATCGGGCTCAGCCTGCTCCTCCCGCTGCTTCTGCTTGAACTTCATGTTCCTGTAATGCATCACGGCCCCCGTGAGCTTGTAGAGCCCGACTTTCTCCTCTGAGCTGAAGCCCAGGATGTCAATGGCATTCTGGGAGTTAGAGAAAGGACAGTTGTCACAGGGACTGAGTTGTCCCTCCGTTGTCACCCTTTCTGTCCAGCCCGTGAGACAGCATTTGCCCAAGGAAGTGGATGACGGGATGGTATGTTAAGTTAGGGGTTAAAAGCCGTTTCTTTAACATGTTTGTGTGGGAGGGTGGAGATTGTGGGAAAGAAAATGTGAATACTCCGTTTTCTTCCTTCTAATCAGAACTGATTTGAATCCTTTACATAGATTTGGGGCTATTTTCTGGAGGAGGCCACTGGGAACCACTGTGTGATACCAGGAGAAAGAACTCTCATGGAGAGTGTCTGAGAAACAGTGTCCAACACCTCGAGAGTCTGGCATTATAACCCAGGAATTCTGATGTTCAGAATTGAGACAATATGGTGCGCCAGCCTGCTAGAACTGGAAGGGAAGGTCATCGAAGAGAATGCCATCATTTTTCAAATAAGAAAGGGGCGAACTTCTGCAGAGCCCCCCTGTGCTAGGCGCGGAGTGAGGCACCATCCATATGTTATTATTATTATTCTAGTTACGAACGTTGGAAATACTTCCCAAAGCTAATGGTTGGAGGCCCGACAGGTGCACTGAGGATGTGTGGAAGCCGAATGTGAGCTTGATTGGGGGGGGGGCAGGTAGCACGAGGCGTGGAGCGTCTGCTCCTACAGAGTGGGTTGTTTTTCCTGCTTTATTCTTTGCTGTATTTTTAAAATTTTCTTAAAGAACTGTGCAGATGGTTTTGTGGCCTGAGAAGTTCCCACAAAACCCTTAAAAAAAATCTTATACGTGCAAAACCCCACTCTAAAATGCTAGAGAACGAAACTGGAGGCCCATTTTGGAGAACTTTCTGTCCCTCCTCCCGCCCTCCCCCTGCCACCCTGAGCATCTCCTGGGGTGGAGTTGAGTGGGGAGGGGTACCATCTGGACTAATTTCCCTCGACATCTTGATTTCTGAGAGCTCGGGTCTGATCACTGAGCATCCCTGGGTCCCAGTTTCTGATTCGATCGCTAGCATGCCTCTCGATTCACAAACTCAGTAATTTTGTGCTGAAAGGAAGAATGAAGGTGAGAAAGTGCTTACATCAGTCACTAGCAGTTCTTCGCTGTCATTAATGCTCGCCACGGTGACCTCTCCCTGGCTCATGAAGGGGAAGTCAAAGGGATTGGTTGAAATGAGGAGCAAGTCTGCGAAACACGAAGGTCCTGTTAGCATCTCACACATGCTTGAGGCACTCTGGCTATCTCTCCAACGTGACTGACTTGGAGGATGAGACCAATACCCCAAGAACGTACCAATGAGTTCTGGCTTCTCGTTTGACAAGATTTGGTAAAAAATGTGATAGCTTCTCTCACTGGATAACTGAAACGTCACTCTGGATTTTTCTAAGAGATCTAAGGGGAATAAGAAAGAATGTGGCTTCAGGTTCCTAGGAGGTGCCTTTGTGGCCAAATACCACGGTGCCCAATATGGCGTTGGGACTCACAGGTTTCAATGTCCGCTGAGGCCAGCTTTCCTGTGGCTCCAAAATGAATCCAAATGAACTTCCCCTGTCCAATGGCAGGTTGACAAACATCACAATTATTTTATGTAGATGGTATTGTGGCTGGCTTTTGCCAGATGCTACCAGCCACGGGTGGGAAGTGTAGGGTCAGGGAAGTGATGCTAGAAGGGAGGACTTTCCTCCTCTCTGTCTGCCTGGCACCCAGAATTCCCAAGTTGGCTTAGCCAAGACTTAGATAGTTATACCCAAAGCATCTGACCCCGTTCTTCCAGTTTTGGGGACACCCTCAGGCTCCCTCTCCAACTTCTGCTTGGGATCACCTCACTCTAGATGGTCCCCTTGGTTTTTATCCTGCTCTCTGGTACCTGGATTCCCAAATGCTTCATGATACCTTTGATAGACCTGGTTGGACCATCTTGACAAACTTCCTTCCCAGGCTAGGTTCTCTGGCTCCCAAAATACACATTCAGAGTCTGAGTTCTCCGCTTCGGAGGGGAGGCAAGAGGTGAAATTTTATGAGCGACTGGTTTCTACCACACTGTGAGCAAATCTGAAAGGCAAAAATGTTGCTTTGTCCATCTACCCACAGAGTCAGCACTTCATAATCTTGTCACTGTTTTCCGAATGAAGCTTGGGGAGAGTTGGTGAAGGGTCACTGGTGGCATGAGTGGACTGTAAGTGTTGGTCTTCAGTGTGTTGCTAGCTGCTCAGTAGAAGATGATGGAAGTTTTAGTCTGCAAATGTTTGTTTGGTGGGTGGAAGGTGGACAAGCTAACCAGGGCAATCGTGACTTCTGGGTCAGGGCCAAGAGGAAAGACCCAAGTATTAAATAAATGGGAGTGGCAATGGGAGTTATCTAAAGGCATTGTCTTTCATTTCAAAGCCGGTGCCAGGTTAGCACAATTACTAACTTGGTGCAAGTATGTACACCATATGTCTGCTGTGTAACACGCACCCAGATCCCCTACAATCAAGAGTTTTTAGTTGTGCACTAGGATGGGCAATGCACAAAGGACCAAGGGAAAGAAAGAAAGGTCAGGGCTCATAGCCACAGTCTCTGATGGCTGCATCTACTTTCTCATCAGTGACCAATTTATCCTTGAGAAGAAACGATAAAACACAAGCTTGAGATTATCCAGCTCCTGAGATGTGTGGAGTCCTGATAGTCTCTTGCAACTATACGCATAAGCGAGGGCTTTGCCTCATGGTAGTTGCTCATTTCGTGGTATAGTGAGATTAGGTAGAGGGCTGGATGTTTGTTTATTTGCCCATGGAGAAGTAAAGACCTCTTTGGATGAGCGAATCTTAAGCAAAACATCGAAGGATGGAACATATCCTTCAGTATCTACAACATCAACGTATTCCCAAGTTTTGAGCTCTCCTGACTTCCCCAGGTTTTTCCTTCTCCCGTTGCCCTCTGACTTGGAGGAGTTCAAACCTGCTCACCTAATTCAAACTAAGGTTTCCGTGGCTAATAAGCCAATGGAGATTGCTCAATGGACTTCAGAATTTTAAAATGCTTCCCTCTAGCGAGACCAAGTGTAGCATAAAGGATTTGATCTCTACTTGGGGAATTTGAATCACCATGACTTCGGGATGCTCTGACTGAGGTGATGAGCTTAGTTAGGAATGGACAGATAACCACCCTCCCCACCATTGACAATGAGCCAACGGTGTATCCGATTTCCCAGCAGGGCTCAATTGATCTGAATCACTTGAGGGTAGAATAAGGCTGGCTATATTCTAGTTTATGTGGGATTATTATTATTATTTTTTATATCTAGCATTTGGGGAGAGGGTTTGGTTCTTGGTGGGGGGAGGAGAGTAGTTAAAATTGGACTGGATCTTACAAATCTTGAGGAGTTGTCATTCCTCACGGTCTTGGCGTTTCCAAAGGCCTCAAGCAGGGGGTTGGCCTGGATGATTTGATCTTCCAGAGTCCCCTAATAATAAATAAGGAAAAGCAAAGGGAGGACTTTGGAGGGTCCTCTGAAGGAACCCATGGTGACTCGAAAGTGTGGATGCTCTGGGCAGGGTCCGGGGAGAGAAGCTGACCAGCCCAGCGTGGTGGCCAGTGCAGATGGGTGAAGGTACCCATGTGCCCATCTCTATCACCTGAGGAGGTTTCAAGGTCCCATCTTGGAGAGGGTCTCATTAGTATAGCATTGACGTGAGTCTGGCCATACCATATTCCAAAGTCACCCAAGGAATCATACAATAGAAATAGTGGTTCTCAAAAAAAATTTTTAAGTCACATAAAATATGTCATGAAAATTTTTGCTTAGAAGTCTGCTTATAGGGGCACCTGGGTGGCTCAGTCGGTGAAGTGTCTGCCTTTGGTTCAGGTCATGATCCCAGGGTCCTGAGATCGAGTCCTGCATCGGGCTCCCTGCTCAGTGGGGAGTCTGCTTCTCCCTCTCCCTCTGCTCCCGACTCATGCTTGCCCTCTCTCTCTAGTGCTCTCTCTCTCTCAAATAAATAAATAAAATCTAAAAAAAAGAAAAAAGAAGTCTGCTTATAGAAAGCAGAATTTTTACTCCCCCCCGCCAAGACTGCTTATCCTTCTGCTTCCAGAGCCCTTTTCAAACTATTGTTCTGCCCAGTGGTTCTCAAATTGTGATCCCTGGACCCATTGCCTGAATAGTGGGAACATGATAGAAATGCAAAGTAGCAGGACTGTGCATGGGAGTTAGGAATTTCAATCAGAAATTCTGGGCCCGGGGCCTAACAATCAGTTGTTAACAAGCTGTCCTAGTGATCCTGATGTGCTCTCCTGTCTGAGAGAAACCCCCCCCTCCGCCCCCGCGCCAAAGCATCCTTTCTCCAGCCCAGCACGCAGGGATCTATCTGCTCACCGTACCTGGGCTTGTTGAGGATGGAGCCGGTGCTACCTCTTGCGTCCACCAGGTGGCACCACTCTAGCCTTGCCGCACAAGCACCCGTGGGACCAGACCCCGCCCGGTGCATCTCTGCTGAGCACCGAGCCCTGCACCCACTCGGTGCTCACCCCGTCTTTAAGCTGTCCTTACTCCAGCAAACCTCTAGATGCAGGGAGCTCCTCACCTGCATCTTGCCTGGCTGCGGCTCCTTCTTTTTGTCCCCAGTAACCGCAATTGTCGCAAAGTACTGGATGACACGCTTGGTGTTCACCATCTTCCCCGCCCCGGATTCTCCGCTGTCGATTTAAAAGCAAGTAAGATAGAGGAGTGGAAGGGGACGGCTCTGGCTTCCAAGTCATCGTGGAGCAAACTCAGGTTACTCACGTGATGAGGATGGACTGATCGTCTCGATCTAGAAAGGCAGAGGGGAGAAAACAAAATAAAGGAACAGCAAACACATGGAATATAAAAATAGGGCAGCTCCGGGGGTGATTGGAGTGATGGCTTTGCTGTGAACTAGCAGTGTGAGGACTTGGGCGTGGCTAATCTTCCTCGAGACGATTAATGTAGATTTTCCACATGGCAAGTGAACAGTCAATCCCACAGAGAAAGTGATTCTTGTTCATAGATCTTCAACTGCTGACCAGCAATTTCTCATCTCCTTTTTTAACGAAGAGAGCGAGTCTCAGACTCGGGGCTTGTGGGAAGGTGCAGCTTCTAATTAGAATCCATGGAGACTGATGGGTTGTCCTTGAGTTTTTCCTTTACCTTTACTCTGTACTTGTGGAAGGTGACCATGGTTTTCCACTTACAATCATTTATGAGTTGAGTTGTGGCCCCCTCTACCCAAATTCATCTGTTGAGGTTCTTACCCCCAGGACCTCAGAATATGACCTTATTTGGAAACTGGGTCATTGTAGATGTTATTAGTGAAGATGAAGTCACATTGGGGGTGCCTGGGTGGCTCATTCGGTGAAGTGTCTGCCTTCGGCTCAGGTCATGATCCCAGGGTCCTGGGATCGAGTGCCACATCGGGGTCCCTGCTCAGTGGGGGAGCCTGCTTCTTCTTCCCCCCACTCCCGCTTGGGCTCTCTCTTTCACTCTCTCTCTCAAAAATAAATAAATAAAATCTTAAGGAAAAAAAAGATGAAGTCATACTGGAGTGGCCCTAATCCAATACGATTGGCGTCCTTATCAAAAGGAGAGATTTGGAGACAGACGTACACAGGGAGAATGCCGCCTACGGGTGATTGTGTAAGCAGGGAGGCGCTTCTACCAAGGAACCCCCAAGAGGGCCACCAAACCACCAAGAAACTGTGAGAGAGGCAGGGAACGGATTCTGCCTCTCAGTCCTGGGGAGGAGAGGACCCCGCTAACACCCCAACCTCGGACTTTCCACTTCCAGACTTGGAGACAATAATTTCTGCTGTGTAAGCCACCCATCTTGTGGTACTCTGGTACGGCAGCCCTAGGAAACTCCTACAAATAGTGCTATTGATCTTCCCTTGAAAACCGATGCACCTTTGGTCAATTTGAAGACAAATATTAAGTGTGCAGGAATGGCTAGGCTTGAGTGTGAGAGAAGAAGACCTGAGGTTTGGGCAACTGAAAGTTTAGTAGATGACTCTAAATGTCTTCAGATCTCACAGGCTTGCTTCTGCCTCTTGAGTCTGCACCAGACCAAGTCAGGTGAAAGTGGGACAGACAAAAGTGACTCGAAACATAGTGACATGGCAGTATTACCACGTGTCTTTGTCCTGTGCCATTCTGGGAATTTAGGGAAGAGAAAGAGGAACCCGAGTCTGGGAAAGAAGACTGTGAAGGGACATTGCTATGCCCGGTTCTCCAATTTTGCACCCTAGCGGCTATTAATCTAATCTCTCTTCTTCTAAGCATGCTCATGTTGGTGTGTGTGTGGGGGGGTTCTTTGGAGGTGGGGGCAGGGCATCTTCCTGGATTCCACGTTCCCCCAAACAAGCAGGTGCACAGCAGGGCTCCAGTTGTGAGCACTGGCTTAGGCACCGTGGCTACTAATGGGAGATATGCACCTCTGGCTCTTCATCATGAAATCATCAGAGTCTCTGAAGGTCACCTTGACCATCGCCCCATTCAGATGATCAAGTCCTTCTGAAAGGCTTGAATAATTAGCTAAGAACCTGTCCAGTTAAACGGCTTGCATAATTAACTAAAAACTATTTTTAAAAAATAGGGATTGGGCGCCTGGGTGGCTCAGTTGGTTAAGCGACTGCCTTCGGCTCAGGTCATGATCCTGGAGTCCCAGGATCGAGTCCCGCATCAGGCTCCTTGCTCAGCAGGGAGTCTGCTTCTCCCTCTGACCCTCTTCCCTCTTGTGCTCTCTGTCTCTCATTCTCTCTCTCTCAAATAAATAAAATCTTTAAAAAAAAAATAGGGATTGAAGAAATTGCTCACCCGTCAGCATGAACTGATAGGCGTTGTCGGAGATGGAGAAGATGTGGGGCGGGGCCTCCTGGCGCTTCTTGCCTCGGTAGGCGGCCACCACCTCGGGGTTGTACACTGGCAACCACTTGTAGGGGTTCACGGTGACGCAGAAAAGGCCCGAGTAGGTCTGAGAAAACCAGAAAATGTGACATGTGGATCTTGTCTTTACTCAGAGAGATAGATGGGATAGGGAGATGCTGAAGGGCGCTCACGTAGATCATCCAGGCTGCGTAACGCTCTTTGAGGTTGTACAGCACTCCAGGCTCGTGCAGGTGGGTCATCATGGCCATGTCCTCGATCTTGTCAAATTTGGGAGGGTTCATGGGGAACACCTGGTCACTGTTGAGAGTGAGTGTCTAGGGATTGAGAAGAAAAGCACATGATGGAGAAGGAGAGCCAGTTCTGTGAACCCCGCTCTACTTGGTGTGGTGGAAGTCATGAGAGATGGCAGGTAAATCACCCCATTAGCATGAATAGCTTCATGGGTCATTCAAAGAGATGATCCACAAATAACTGTCCTTGATTAACCCAATTCTGGTCAAACTGCATAGCCAGTTCCGGTCTCATGCCCCCCCTTTAAGTGTGCCATCGTGTGTGCCAAGGATGAGTTAACAGTGTGCATAGCAACAGAGCCCTTCAGCCCTCAGGGTTCAGGTCGGACTCAGGATGGCCCAGGTCCCATGGCAGTTTGCCTCTGTTTATCCCATTTGCTTTGAGTGCTTCAATGAAACAAAGGTTGGAAGATTGGAAAGGAATGCTCCAATGTATTCTGTGCGTTTCCACCTCAATACTTCTGCTCACGTGGGTTCCTTTGTCTGGACTATCTTCATTGAAATTATGTGCAGAAACCCTCAAAGTTCAACTCAAGGCACATCTCTTCTGTGACCCATTTCCTGTCTCCCTGTCTTTTCAAGGCTTCCATAATTCCTTGCAGCTCTGCTCTAATAGTTAAAACATTTGAACTTGCAGCATGGCCCATGGCTGAACAATATTTCTGAGACTATTACATCATTTCCCTCCTCTGGGTTTGCCCCTCCTGACTCCCCCACTCAAGCATACAGCTAGCTCTGCTCTCCATTACTCAGGAGAGGTAGAAAATAGGGCAGAAAAGAGAAAGAGCCTATAAAGCTTTCTGGCTTCTGTTTTCTGAAAGCCTAAGCCCTTAGAAAAGCTTTGAGGGTTTTAGTGAAAAGACAAAAGGAAGGGGATTTGTTGGTACATGTCAAATCTCTTGAGGAAAGGAGACTCTTTTGCCCCACTGCCCTACATTAGAGACACCCAAAGTAGCACAGGGGAGATGGAAAAGTCTGTGCATCCTGAAGCTTCAAAGACTGGGACTTGTTTCTTTGCAGATAGTTCAGGGTGAGGTGGGGTGGTGGTGGTTAGATCCTCAGTGTGGTATGGTGTAAGGTCCTGAAAATGAGGCACAACCATAGGAGGGGACCCGAAGAATGACTGAAGAAAATTTATTTCCCTTCTAGTGAAAAGAGGCTGAAATGAGAGGTTAAGTTCAACAAACAAACAAACAAACAAACAAACAAGAAATAAAAGAAAGATCTGCCTCGTATGCCTGAGTTTGTGAACTGAGAGTCATACCTGCCAGGCACATCTTGATTCCTACACTAGATGGTAAACTGTGGGAAAGCAGGTGCTGAGATTTGCTTCCATTTGCAAAAGGACAGATGCTAGACGTGGTAGGTGTCCAGTAAATATTGGATTGAATGATGCACTGTAATTCTCGACATTAAGCTAGGCATCGCCTCCAGTGTTTCCTCTGGAAGTCACTCCACAGCCCAGGGAGGGATATTTGCCAGGCCCACCCAGCAGTGATCAGCACCAATCTCTCCCTTAAATGGTCCAGCCTCTGCCACCCTCAACTTCCCCTTTTTACAAAGCAAATGTCACAAAAACTCTCAAAGCCCAAATTCTGGAAAAGTGAAAGAAGCAGGAGTGAAGGTGTTTGCAATAGGAGCTTTCACCTGTTACTTCACTATGGAAGAGGTAAGTGTACGTTATGTTCTACCTTCAGATTCCTATGGACCAGCATACGATTTCTAATATCCCACTCCAAAGGCAAGTGATGGAGGACATCTGAGATCAACACTTACCCGGTCATCCAGGGTCTTGACTGTGACTTTTTCATTTTCCCTGCTCTGGATTATACCTTTCACGTACATTTCCTTATCATCCACTGCAAAGCAGGCTTTCTTAGAATCAAATGGGCGATTTTGTGCCTCTATTCTCTCCTTCTCTGGCTTCCGCAGGTAAGGAGCTGCCTCTCCAAAAATGGCCATTTCTGCATCAGAGCTCATGGCTGCAGGGGGCGCTGGGAAGACCGGGGAGACAGTTGAGTCTGGAGTTTGCAGTGACTCCTGAATGGGAAGGCCCCCCCCCCCGTTATTTCCATGCAGACAGGGGGCCAGATCAAAAGCTCCTGGTATTAATTTAGGTCCTGGGGAATCCAGAACCAGGTCTAGGGACTTAGATTGGGCAAGTGGGAGCGAGCTAAAGGAGAGACCGTACTCTAGGAAAAACATTTGAGGGGTTGTTTTCATCCGTGAGTGCTGATTTGGGGGGATATCTGTTAGTTCAGTCCCACAAATGGAAGGAAGTCTGAACCAATTAGAGTGAGCCCAATGAAGAGGGATTTGAGAAGCACTTCCTTAATTACACATCATGTTTGAGCCCCATGATCTCAGCGTCATTCCCAAATCTTAAGGGCTTCTGAAAAGAATTATTGGAATGTTGATAATTCCTAGTAGAAATCTCAGATGGCCCAGTGAATAGTAATGACATGAACGTAAAGTCTTGCCATGCTTGCTTAGCACATTCTAGGTAGCAAGCTGATGGGAGGCATTATGGCCAAATGCAGTGATTCCAGACATTAATATGCAACCAGAGTTACCTGGAGGGCTTGTTAAAACACAGATGGTCAAGCCCCCGACCCTGGAGTTTTGATTCTAGGTCTGGGATGGGGCCTGAGAATTTGCATTTCCAGCAAGTTCCCAGGGGATGCTGCTGCTGCTGCTCTGGGGACTACATCTGAGAAAGGCGGGCCTAGAGCCTTCCTACAAGTGTGGTCTTAGAATCTGTTATATCGTACCACCCAGGAGTGTGTTAGAAATGCAGAATCTCTGACCCACCCCATATTACAGAATCAGAAGCTGCATTTTTTAATGAGATTTCCAGGGGATTACATAGTAGACTGAGAAGTATCGGGTCTAAGTGCAGTGGTCTCCAAACTTCAGTTGTGTATAGCAATGTCAGGGTGTGACAAGCAGTGCTTAATTAGATTAATATCTGCCTTGTAATTCACCGGCTGGTGCGTGCGTGTGTGTGTGTGTGTGTGTGTAAGTGCCTTTCTGCCTCTGCTTCTCCCTCTCTCCGGTTCCCTCCCTCCCATCCTTTTTATAACTCCTTCCCCAAACCATCCCCCTTTCCTTGGGCCCCTCTCTGTTTTTCCCTGCTTAGAAGCCAGAAAATCTGGCTTTAAAGTCCCAGCGCTGAACTCGGTCGAGCCACTTAGCTTCTCTGGGCTGCTGTGTATTTCCACTTAAAAATGAAGTAGCAAGCCGAGCTCATTTCTAAGTCCCCTGCAGGTGGTGAAGTTCTCAGATTCCTTTTCTGCATATGCATCTGGTTGTCCAGCTCCCTCTGGATTCTGACCCCTGGACTCCTCCACTTCTTTTCCCCACGTCGCTTCCCTTTCCTATTCTTCCCCTTTCCCTTCCCACTTATTCTCCTGTAACTGATTATAGAGTGAAGTCACACACACGTATCCCCATAGCTCTCTTCAGAAAAGTTCATATTTTTTTAATGAGGATTTTTACGTTTCCTATTAGAAGTAGGAGAATTGAACATCTTATGGTTCTCTCTTGGAAGCCAGCCTCCCCCAGCTCCCCCGTTATGAAATCGCTCTTCATTTGGTAACTTGTTTTATTATTCCTTCCTGCGCTGCTGCGGGGTTTTATTCCTACAGAAAGAAAAGCATCTGCTTCCCTCTGGACCTTATTCGGCTAAGTTACGTCGTAGTTTTACTTTGGCCACTGGCTCTACTGAACCATGGTGGTTAGATTTTCATAGAAGGAGGCTGGAAGTCAGTAGCGCTCCCAGAAAGAGGGCCCCTGGCCTGTGGCCATTGTGCTGGTTCAGACTTTATCTGTTCCTGGCTAGTGGATCAAGACAAATTCGTGCAGGGGCGCCTGGGTGGCTCAGTTGCTTAAGTGTCTGCGTTTGGCTCAGATCATGATCCTGCGGTCCTGGGATGGAGCCCCGTGTCCAGCTCCCTGCTCAGCGGGGAGCCTGCTCCTCCCTCCCAATTGTGCTCTCTCTCTCTCAAATAAATAAATAAAATCTTAAAACAAAGAATTCATACACATAGCTTTCCCCTTCCCTAATGGTGGTCCCCAGGGTTGTGGCTTAAGTGGGCTTTACAATAGCAGTGGTTCTCCAATTTTGTGTTCTCAGAATCCCTTCACACTCTCAAAAATAATTGAGAACCCAGCAAGCTTTGGCTTATGTTGGTCATATCTACTGATATTTATCATATTAGAAATTACATTGCATGTTAACATAAATAACATATTGTTATTAAGATGACTATATTTTCCAAAATGAAAATAAATTAGTGGGAAGAGTAGCATTGTTTCTCATTTTTATGACTTTCTTTCTTCTTTATTTTTTAAAAAGATTTTATTTATTTATTTGAGAGAGGGAGAGAGAACATGAGCGGGGGGGTGGGGTGGGAGCAGGGAGAAGCAGGCTCTCCGCTGAGCAGGGTGCCCAATGCGGGGTTCGATCCCAGAACCCTGGGATCATGACCTGAGCTGAAGGCAGATGCTTGACTGACTGAGCCACCCAGGCTCCCCTTTAGAACTTTCTTTTCTTTTTCTTTTTTAAAAGATTTTATTTATTTATGTGAGAGAGAGAGAATGAGAGACAGAGAGCATGAGAGGGAAGAGGGTCAGAGGGAGAAGCAGACTCCCTGCTGAGCAGGGAGCCTGATGTGGGACTCGATCCTGGGACTCCAGGATCATGACCTGAGCTGAAGGCAGTCGCTTAACCAACTGAGCCACCCAGGCACCCTAGAACTTTCTTTAATGTCTACTGAATAAAAGACTGGATTTTCATTTCTGCTTCTGTATTCAGTCTGTTGCCATAAGGCTTTTTGTTTTTGTTTTTGTTCTTTTTCGTTACAGTAAATACAGACAATCTGCCCTTATGCAGTTATGTAATTTGGAAAAGGAAAGAGTTTTTTCATTGTCTTTTCTTTTTTTTTTTAAGATTTTATTTATTTATTTGACAGAGAGAGGGAGACACAGCAAGAGAGGGAACACAAGCAGAGAGAGTGGGAGAGGGAGAAGCAGGCTTCCCGCTGAGCAGGGAGCCTGATGCGGGGCTTGGTCCCAGGACCTCAGGATCATGGCCTGAGCCAAAGGCAGACGCGTAACGACTGAGCCGCCCAGGTGCCCCTGTCTTTTCTTTTTCTTTTTAAACATTTATATATGTATGTATGTATGTATGTATTTATGTAATCTCTGTACCCAACATGGGGCTCGAACTCATGACCCTGAGATCAAGAGTTGTACGTTCCACCGACTGAGCCAGCCAGGTGTGCCCCTTTGTTGTCTTTTCAAATAATTTTGAATAATCCTCTTAGATATACCAGAACTTGACAAGTGGTCATTTTTTAAAGGCTAGTTGCAATGTGGAATAAAATCTGAAACTGTATCGATGAATATTTTGTACTCTGTTACATTATAATCCATTGGTCTGTATTTCAACTTTGAAAGGATCTCTCCCCAAGTACGAATATCCTACATTAGTCATTTGGAAAATATTGGTTCATGGAGTTATACAGAACTTCTGAATGTTGACGCATTTTGTCATAGAATATAAAACAATCACAATCATTAATATCTCTAGTGATTTCATTAGAAAATTCCTTAAGTATTAGAAAGTGGTCAAGTTAGTGGTAGCAGATGCACGTTTTCCAAAATTCTAATTCTTGCTTGAAAGCTCAAAATATCATTAGTAACAAATGCTGTCAGTTGTTTTCCTTGAAATGATAAGCACACTAGAAGTTCTTTCAAGTAATAATGGTGCTGCATGAATAAAGTGGCTAGTTCATATTGCAACTCAGACCAACCGTACATGTGCATTTCCTCGAGACAACCATCAAACTCTGGTATGCAGCTGGAGTGCCTTATGCAGACTTCCCATTTCAGAGAGTATTAATACATGTATGCAAGAATTGAATTATACTAAAATTAATAATTTTTGCTGCTGGAAATTTTAAGTAATTTTTAAGTAAAAATTTTTAAATAAAATAAAGCTTTTTTTCTCCAGGGTTAGCATATAACAATGACAATGACTATTAGTCCAGTTTGGTGCCATGCCTTGATTTGTAATAAAGCATCAGAAGTTTTATCTGCCTTTGCTTTGCATCATTAGGTTAACACAGTGAAAAAAGGCAAATGTGTCTAGGTATTATTGTGAAAATTGTTTTGATCTCATGTTTCTCCAGCAAAGTTCTTAGGGATCTCCAAAGATCCACGGGCCACTCTTGAGAATGGTTGCACTATGAGGGGATCTTGTCAGGTTGCAGGTTTGTGATCCATACATGATTCAGCATGACTTAGCATTAAGCATGGTACCCCAAATGTTGGAAAATGATCCACATCCAAATCATCTGCAACAGAATCTCTGTGACTGGGACTGGAGAATCTGAATTTTTCCCAAGGGCCTCAAAACCAGTGATGTTTGGGAATCACTAGCTTAAATCATTATCTTGCTTCCCCAAACCATGGCATGGTCCCGTTGGTCATACACAAAATGACTTTAGGCAAATATTTCTTAATTTTAATAATGATGTGCTTATTAAATCTATTATTTTATCAAAATCAAATTGTCATCAATCATAAGAGAAATTATTTTGAGTTTCAGAAATAAAGAAAAAAATGTGTCTTATGACAGTACTCCTTTCATTGATTATAAGATGCTCTTCAAGTTCAGAGATAATATTTTGTGAAAAATGAGAAGAAAATTAAAATTGATCAAGTAGAGTAATATGTGTTATATCTGTTTATGCTGGTGATATAAGGCAGTGTTTCTCACAATTTAGTGTGCAGATGAATCCAACTGGGCGTCTTGCTGAAATGTGTGTTCTGATTCAGCAGGTCTGGGGTGGGGTTGAAATTCTGAATACCTAACAAATATCTCAGCTGATGGTCCACATTTTCATAGCAAGCATAGAGGGTGGGATGACTTTAAAAAACAAATCTAAAGGGCACCTGGGTGGCTCAGTTGGTTG